GGGGGGGGGAGTGGAGCGGCGAATAAAGGTGAAGTGCCAGGCTGCTGAGCATGCTTATATTTTTATTTTTCTCGGACACTGGTGAGGGAAGCAGAAGGAGAGGGGAGACGCTCTTGTCTGCTTCTCTTCGGGCACTTGGCCACCTTCGCCCAGCCCGGAGGCCGCTGCTCACCGCCTTCCTTCTTTCGCTGTCTCTGCTTCTCCAGCAGTCAGGCTGGATTGAGGCATCCGCCTCCCGGAACCGGGAGAGCAGTGTGCCCGGGCCGCCTTCCTCCCTCCCTTCCTTTCTCTCCCCACCACCCCCTTCCTTTATTTTTTAAAAATTACTTTATTTATTTATTTTTTTTACTTTTAAACCTCTCTTTTTTTAGCCACCAGAAATCTCAGCCTCCAACGCCGGTGGGCTGGATCCTGTGCCCCCGGAGCACCTAGGAGGAGGCCTCGCTCCGTTCTCCACTCGTATATCTGGGGCACCGATGGAGATCCGTGAGGCCAGGCTCACCTCATTTCTCACCTTGGGAGAACCAGACCAACTTCCCCCAAAGGCCCTGCCGTCCAGAATTGGCCCAGATTAATAAAGACCTGACCTGACCCCTGCCCCCACCCACCCAGTTGCGTGCATTCAATCCCTGCGCTTGTCTCTCACTCGGTAACCGGCTGGGGAGGATGAGTGTGTGTGTGGGGTGACAACACGGATCGCTCAGAGGTTATTTATTTTCCCTTCCACTCCATACTTTCCTCCCCAAATCTCGCCTGCAAGCTGCCTCCAGCCCGCGGGGGTCGACAGCGGCCCTCGAGCCCCCAGCCCCAATGCACAAGGCTCGGTTTTCCCATTCATTATTGATCATATTTTATAAATCCAACGCCACACAATTTTTTCCACATTACCGGGAGCCGTGGGGAGGATGCCCAGCCATTGGCTGAGGGGACGTCACGTGGGCGAGGGTCACGTGGTCCGGAGAGGAAAAAGGGGGTCCTTTTTGGTGTAAATCTGGACTCTAATTCTGTAATATATCAAGGAATCTCGTAAAACCGACACTAAAACGTCCCTGCCTACAAATCATCCGGCCAAATTATGAGTTCATTGTATTATGCGAATGCTTTATTTTCTAAATATCCAGCCGCAAGTTCGGTTTTCGCTACCGGAGCCTTCCCCGAACAAACTTCTTGTGCGTTTGCTTCCAACCCCCAGCGTCCCGGCTATGGAGCGGGTTCGGGCGCTACCTTCGCCGCTTCGATGCAGGGCTTGTACCCCGGCGGGGGGGGCATGGCGGGCCAGAGCGCGGCCGGCGTCTACGCGGCCGGCTACGGGCTTGAGCCGAGTTCCTTCAACATGCACTGCGCGCCCTTTGAGCAGAACCTCTCCGGGGTGTGTCCCGGTGACTCCGCCAAGGCGGCGGGCGCCAAGGAGCAGAGGGACTCGGACTTGGCGGCCGAGAGTAACTTCCGGATCTACCCTTGGATGCGAAGCTCAGGTAACGCCGCGCACCGAGCGGTCCCGAGCGGCAGCGGCCGGGGCACATTCCCCGGAAGGCACCCCTTTTCCGCCCAGGCGTCTCTTTCCGCGTCCAGAGTGTTCCCGGCCCGAGGTCAGCCTTGGGGACGCGGCACCCCCTCGGATGCGACCCAGAGCGTCGCTGCCACCTCCAGAATTGCTCGGTATTCTCAGGCTCGCCCTGCTTCCCAGCGGATCTCTCTTCGCGGTCGCTGGGGCGCTTGGAGCCCCTAGCCCGCCCCCCACCCTTCCTCCCTGCCTTTTAGCTTTAAATATTTATCAGCAGTGCCGGCACAGGCTGGAGACTAGGCCGTTTGTCTTGCGGAGGAAGGCTAGGGTTTGCAGAGAATAGCCATTAGGGTCTCCCCCCTCTCTTCCCCCTTCCCCGCTGGGGGATTTCAGCTCTGGGTGTGTCCCGAGCCCCAGCTCGGATAAGGTATGGGGGAGGGGGCCATAGCGCTAAGCAATTCTCCCCTCCCCCTTCCTTCCCAGCCAACCCCGCTCCCCCATTATTCCCATCAGGACAATTAGAGGTGGGCTCTAGAGGCATGGTGGGAGGAGGGGATCGGGGAGAGGAGATGAGCACCCATTCTGGGACACAGAGCCAGAGAGGCAGGTGGAATGAGAGGGGCAAGACCAATAGAGATGAGGTTTCTGACACTCCCCCCATGAACTTAGGGGCCAAGAGAATTAGAGGGAGGGTAGTGGCCTCCTGGGGGTGCAGCTAGCTTCCCCAGGTCCCCTTCCTAGGGCTGCTAGGTAGTCATAGAGAATTGGCCAACAAGTTTGGAGGTGTCACTCTGAAAGGTGAATCTCCTCTGGTGGGAGGAGCTAGGACTCCCACTGGGCTAGAAGTCAAATCAGGGCATAGAGTACAGACCACCCAGCCAATTGCTGCAGGAACCCCAGGAAGCCAGGGGTTCCTGGAGTCTTATTCCAAGCCAAGCCCAAACATCCTTTTACACTGCCCCAAAGCAGATGGACTTGGGGACCAGTCCTGAGATTCTGAAGGTCCAAGATTTGTGGTCAGAGGCTCCCAACTTGCCTGCATTGTGGGCCAGGAGGAGCTCAACTCACACCATCAGTATTGGTGGTCAAGGTCCCCACTACCTGCTTCATAATTCAGCTGCCCCAGTTTTTCTGCTCATAAACATTTCAGCTTGGCTTTTATCCGACTTGAAATTAAGGTCCCTAGTCCCTCCTCCCTCTTGTCTCCTTCCCAGGAGGGGTGGAATCAGCACCTCCTCCAATCTCAGGGTTCGCCCTAAACTGGGAGGCTCCCTTCTACCCTTCAACCCCTACCACCTAGGTACTCCATACTCTGCCCTAACCAAGGCTGCTGTCTTTCTCCCGCATGCCTTTCTGGCAATCCAGAAATTTACTTGGAGGGTTGGGTTGTCCAGGCAGGCAGGCTGGAAGGATGGACACTCTGGCCTTGGCCAAACCTCAGCACTCACTGGAAGTGAGTCAATGGAAGGTCTCTGCTCCCAGACCAACTCCAAGCTCCAAGGAAATGCGCAAATTCTCTCCTCCTTACTTCACAACAGGCTGTGATGACTGTGGGCTGGGCCTGTGAGGCCCTTTTGTCTCCTTTTCTCCAGGCCAGGCCTGGAGTCCTACTCCAGGGTTCCTTGCATGGTTTCCATTGCCCTCTACCCTAAAGACAATCAGAGTGGGCATCCAAAATGGGTGGTTTAGTGTCTCTGGTCTCAGACAGTGCCAAGGATTACTCTCCCCCACCCCACACACTCCTTAGGAGCAGAAACATCCAGAGCCAGAATATTAGAGCCTCCTGGGTTCTGAAGCTCCAGGCTGAAACACACTTTTTGAATGAAAAATGAGATGTTTGCCTTGGGAGGCCTAAAAAAGTTCTGCACCCTGGAGGGGGGGGTCAGCATGGAGTACGGATGAGCTGGAGTATGAAAAGTGAGTTTGGTTTAATAGAAAAAGTGGGTTTCTATTGCCCACTAATTTCACAAACCGGATTTAAAGAGGGACTTCGAATTTCGCATGACTCTAAGAGGGAGATTTTTTTTGGAGTTTTTTGCATTCACTGATTTTTCTCCTCTAAATACTGTGCTCAGGGACGGACCGCAAGCGAGGCCGCCAGACCTACACCCGCTACCAGACCCTGGAGCTGGAGAAAGAATTTCACTACAACCGCTACCTGACCCGGCGGCGGCGCATAGAAATTGCGCACGCGCTCTGCCTCACAGAAAGACAGATCAAGATTTGGTTCCAAAACCGACGTATGAAATGGAAAAAGGAGAACAAGACTGCCAGTCCTGGGACCACCAGCCAAGATAAGGCCCAAGCAGAGGAGGAAGAGGAAGAATGAATGGTAGAAAAAGTGCAGAGGAGGAGAGACCAGAGAGGGAGAGAGGGTGAAAGCCAGCTCTGAGAACTGAAACAGGAAACTCAATAGGGAAAGGGAGAAAAAAAAAAAACTATTTAAATGAAAGCAGTTAAACATTTTTAAGGAGAAGAAAGGTGAAATTTTGGTTTCTCAACACTGAAAATAAAATACTACCTATAGAAAAGGCTGTTGGATTTGTTTTTGTACAACATGGGAAGGACATTATCTACCTGTTCTGTAGCTTTCTGGAATTTGCCTCCCCTTTTCTATGTTGCTATTGTAAGGTCTTTGTAAAATCTTGATGTTTTGTACGTCTCCCCCCTCGCCATCGACGCGATGCTGTCTTTGTGGACTGTGGGTCTGGACTAACTTGTGGTTCCCTGCCTTCCCAAGCCTCTACCTTCCCAGTAGCGGCACCTAAGGGGCCTTAGGGAGCCCCAAGGACCTACCAACTAGCTCCTGTCCCTGTGCACCTGCCCGCTGCTCTTTGCTCCTGCCAGTCCCCTGTGTTCTTCTTTATCATGTAATGTGTACTTGAAGGATGGAAAAATAAAACACAATTCAAAATAGACAGACGTCCTGTTTTCTGTGTCTCCCTAAGACCCGGAGGGTGTCAGGGTTAGCAATGGGTAAGGCATCCCAGGGCCCACCTGCTCCAACTCCTGCTGCTGGCCCGGTTCTTTCTGGGTCTATTCTTTTTCCTGGCGTCTGAAGACTGACAATTAGTGACATATTCCCTTTCGCTCTTCACACATTGACATACATGAGTGCACACAATCACCCGTATTTACCAGCTGATATCGTACATAAATACGCACACTGTCGCACATCATCGCAAATAAACACCCATATTCATAGGTTCGCTAGCATATAGGCATTCACACAACCCCAGCTTTCAGCCCAGGATATATGAATTCTCATTCACACACACTCACAAGTAAACACATTCACACTCACTCACGCATTGGTATATATCAATGGACATTCACACATTGGCTTATAAACACACAGATTCCCATTTATTCTCAAGTAAACATATCCTTGATCCCACATGCTCAGGCCTGTGCTCACAAAATATATCAAAACAAAATTTAAAATCTCAGTTCCACAAACCCGCTTGCTCACAGAGGCCTTCAAACCAGGCAGTGGTATCTGTGCGGCCGCCTAGGCACGAACAGAGACCTGAAATCCAAAATGTTATTCTCATACAAAGGAAAAGAGGAAGGAAAGGGTAGGCGACCATGCAGATCCGCTCTCACTTCTTGGACCGTGCTGGGCAGAGGCGCGCCAGCGAATGGAGGCCTCCAGGTCAGCTGCCTCCTATACCAGGGCACTCGCTCCCGGCTTTCAGCTTGCGTGACATTTTCGGCAAGTGCTATTTCTTTATTTTATTTCGATTTATTTTACGTTCATTTGTTTTTATTTATCTTATTCTAAATTGATACAGGCTACCGAATTAAAACTTTAAAATGGGGCGGGGGACGAGTCCTGGGAGCGCGCTTGAGCGGTGCGAGTTTACCAGGCTCCTTTGGCAGCTTCCTGGCCGGCGGGTTGTTCTAAGCCTGGCCCGGGCCGCTCAGCAGAAATCTTCCGCGCTTTTCGGCCCACTCTCGGCGCCATCGGCAGCCTGGAACCTTCTCCATAGCACACAGAAAAAGAGAAAAAGAAGAAAACAAATTTTGGTAGGTTATTTCGTTTCATGCATTGGGGTGCCAGTAGTTGAACTCAAAATACGGAGTATTTCAGGGGACCTGGGAAATACGCGGCGAATTTTTTTGTTGTCGTTGCTCCCAAACACCCCCTGTTTGCAGGAGAAAAACCTGGTGGGCAGTGTCTACAGCAAGACCTGTGGAGCCTATTTTCTGTGTTTATTCAATTATAAACCTAGATTGTTTCAATTTAAAGGATAGACTTTGGACAGAAAGTGAGAAGAGGGCTGGTTTTAAGATCATTTGTTTAATTATAATTTCCAAGCAAAAAGCTTCTAAACATGCAGTTTTCTCCATGAATGATCCCAGAAGCCCCTGGAGAGTGCATGGAATTTTCATAGGGAACCCAGACACCAACATTCACGCTGGAATCTTGCTTTACCCTCCCCCAATTTCTGGGGTGCCGAGAGGAGAATCTGGTTGTTAAACTATCCACCTTGGCCCTAATCCAGGCTACCTTTCCTTCTGGGGCAAAAAGTGGGCTCTAGGGGATCTAAGGCCCCCACACCCGCAAAGCTGAAAACCTCACAGGTGGGGGTCTAGCCACCTATAGAGCTAGGATTGAAGAGGCCAGTTCAGAGGCAGGCAGGCACCGTAGCTTTCATTTTACTCCCTGATGCAGATGGCAACTCTGAACACCAGCTCCTGCTCCAGCCTCACCCCCAAAGTGCTTCAGAACAGTCCTTATGCGAGGATTTCGGGTGAATTTTTACAAGAAGAGGAAGGTTAGATCTCCTGTGGAAAACTGGGAGGTTCCAAAAAGAACCTCCTTCCCAGCAGGACCCTTGTGGCTTCTCCACCCTGATTCCCTGCACCTCAAATCTCACCTCTTCTCAGATTGGGGTTTTCCCAAAAAGAGAGGAGAAGAAAAGAAGATGGCGACCGAGAAAAGGGTTGCTGGTGGAGCAGCCATGAAGAAATGCAATAAATTCCTTGTTGTTTTATGAAAATTTACAACTTTGTGATAGAAGTTTATGAGTGGTTGAATCCAGCGATTGGCCGGCGCCGGTCATGTGGCCGGGCGATCGTGAACATGAACTTTTTATCATTTCCCTGGTGGTTATAATGCAGCATTCTTTTGGACACCACACCTAGGTCGGAGCACTGTCGTCCTTCAGGGCTCCAGCCTCTTGATATTTTTATACTTCAGTATCAGCTTGATAGAGCAAAAGAGAGAGAGGGAGGAAGAAAGGGGGGAGAGGAGAGGAGAGGGGAGTGAAGGAGGGGGTGGGAATTACACAAAAGACAGAACCAAAAATAATTTTGATTCCTAAGTTAATTTGCTTGCTGATCTGGGATTTTAGTCATCATGGAGGGTAAATGGACAATCTGCCCAGGACCGCAGTCTGATACCATTTTTCAAAGCCAGAACTTACTTCGTTTTCTATGCAAATGCCTGAAAAGCGAAACACCCTCTCTCCGAAGTCAGAGAAGGGGAAGCGACGGCTCTCAGGTTGGGACAATATTATCTGGAAGCTGAAGAAGAAACTGAACGCTCTTTTTCTCCCCCTCCCTCCTCTACCCTTTTCAATCCGGAGGAAAAAAATTCCAAGGTCTGCAAAGGTAAGGGAGATTCTACAATTTTCTTCTCATTCTTTTGCATTGTTTTTGTAGGGGGTGGGGCTTGGGATTTTCTCCCTCCCTCCCTCCACCCAAAGCCGGGACCGAACCCCACCTCTGGGCGCTGCAGGGAGAGGCTTCCCAGGAAAGGGTAGTGTGAGAGAGAGAGAGGTGGCTGCTTCCTGGAGGGGAAGCCAAGGCGGGGAAGAAGGGAGGAGGAACTGAAAGGGGCTACGGAGGCCAGAGCTAAATCGCCTTTTGAAAGTGGTAAGAGCTGCTTAAGCCAGGGGGCTATGGAACAGAGCATGGGGGTGTCTAGGCTTCCGCTGCACCCAGAAGCCAGGCGCTATGGCCTCCGTGGATTTATGCCCTCCCCCCATTCCTCCCACCCCTGGCTTCCCCCAATTGCCCCCGTGCAGTCTCTTGCCCGGTGTGGGTAGGATATCCTATCAGCGGTTTCTCCCGAAGCATTGGCATGAGGGGCGGTGGTGCCGAGAAACATCTGGGTCTCTGTAGGGCCTGGAATCTCCGCAGAGGCCAGCGAGCGTGAAGAGGCGGCTAGAGAGATAGAGAAAGAACAATTCACAGAGAAATGTTCACTCTCTCCCTTCGGAGACATTCTGAAATTAAAGGGCTGTGGGTGGAGGCACCCAACGCCAGGGAGATCCCCCCAGGAAGCCTACAGGAGAAAGCCCACGTCTCTCGCCACTTCTGCAGGAGGGAGCCTCGCTCTGCAGGGAGGCAGTTTTGTGGTTCAAATGCGGTAGGTTCCAGCGTGTTGGTTTCTGTGCGACTGCATCTATTGCTTATGTCTTATTGGAATGAAATGTGTGGATTTTGGTGGAAGAGAAAATTGCCACTTGTATGTCTGAGATGGAAACATTTCAAACTTTTCTGGATCCAAATGTGGTGATTGTGAAGAAGCTGTTTAGCCTGTGTTGTTGTTTTAGGCTTGTAAACAAAAATTTAAAAATTTTAAGATAAGAAAAAAGAAAACCCAATTACTGGATCAGATGGTGTCGAAACTGGAAAGCCACCTGGTGCGGTGCTCAGCCAGCCAGTTCAGTCTCTCCCTGAGCCTAGCGGATTGCATTCCTCAGCCAGGCCTTGTGGGGTGGGGGGTTAGGGGGGTAAAGAAGAATCTGGCTCCAGGAGTCAGAGATTCCTGAAGTAGCTGGTGGGTGTAAGAAGGCACAAACCCAGGGTTAGGGACTTAAAAATAGTGAGAGAGCGTCAGGGGAAGCTGTGTGACTTGTGGATAGTGACATTGGGCCCTCCGAGGGCAGGAGAGATTGATTTAGTTTGGTTTGCACGAATAGGTGATTGTTTTTTTGGTTTCTTAAGGCCAAAGGTAGGGCATTCAGCCTTGAGCCTCTGTGTGCCTCCTGATTGCCAGGTCTGGGATGTACGTGTGGGTATAAGGACCCTCTCAGTTCTGAGCTGGGAAGAGAGGGGCGTCACAGCCACTTGTGGAGCGGGAGGGGGAACCTGGGCGGGGGCAGACAGATACCCCAGGCGCAAGCCTGCACTGGGAGCCCACAGGGACCCCTTGGCTTTCTAGTAAGAGTTCTCCGCCAGCACCCATGGTACTCGGGGCCTATTCTCAAAGGAAAAATTCCCCCAACCCATCCAGACTAAAGGTCTTTTTCTCCTGTAGTCTTGGCGGGTTATAAATCGTCTTTAGACAGTTTCTCTGACCCAAATTATGCAGTTTGCTGCCATCTACCGTCCGTTCCGGGACACGCGGCTTGGGCGCCGCAAGCCTGGCGACACTGCCGGAGCCATGCCCAGCTGCACAGGATCGGCAGGATTCGGGGAATTTCAAGCCCCCACCGATGTTCTCCAATGGATCTTGGTTCCAGGTGTGGTTTAGAGAACAGAACAAATCTTCCCTCCACTATCATCATCCTTCCCTGCCCCAGACC